GTGTTGGCACAGGTTACCTTAAAACCTGCATAAAGGCACCTAAAACAAGAGCAGTCATTAGTTAATGGTTTTAAACCACTCTAAGTACTCTTTAAATGTTTTAAAGATAAGCCTCTCAAAAGGAGGTTTATCTTTGAAATGTTTTACCCATGTCATTCCAGAGTATTGTTTGAATTGTCGGGGAAGGTAACATGCTTTACTTTAATTCCTCCAGCATCCCAGGCTCCCAGACACTGTAGTTCTTCCTACCCTTCATAACTTTAGTGGTTGTGTCCCCTGCCACCCCCGCTGCTGAGAACAGCTGCTTTGAGCTTACTTTGCAGAGAGACCATGGGGCTGAGAGAGCCTGCTTCTCCTAGCTGCATGCTTTTCCCAGGGCTCTATGCTCTCACTGAGCCCCTGTTGCTCTATGCTGAGAGCTGGGTGGCCCTGCTCTCAGTGCGGAGTAGCTGTGTCAGTTTAAGCCGGAGCACGGAGCTCCAGGGAGGCTGCTTCTCCGGAGCTCTGTGCGCTTGCTGATCCCCAGCTACTCCATGCTGAGAGTGGCTTAACAGCTGTGGACGCTGGGGAAAGCATGATTTGCCTTGCCCCTTTGGCTCACCACCTGGGCCAGGACTGCTTTCTCTTCCCAGCCAGCCTCCACCCCAACCCAATCTCAGTTCACTGAGACACATGTAGGATTTTAGCCCTTTCATTTTTTAATTTTTTTTCCTACTCCTTTCTCTTTCCCCCCCATCTTTACCCCTCACTTCAAACAGTTTTTCAAGATTTCTCCCCTCCCTCCCACCCTCTGCTCTGGCTGGGTTCCTGCTGGACGTGGAAGGAGGGAAGACCCCACGTTGCTTTCTCAGCCTCCAAGCTATATGTCATCCCCCTGCTCTCCCACCACTGATGAGGAATAGCATTCTATCTCCCGTTCACATCCCTGTCCATCAGCTGTCTAGTGTCAAGTCACAGCCATACAGGTCTGAAACGACATGAAGCCTTCACCAGTGACTGCTTTAAAAAGACCCTAACTTTATGGCATCACAACATTCACAGATTTCTGGTCTTATACAGGTAACCTGTGCCAAGGCTCCATCATGTGCTTAACTTTAAGAATGTGCTTGAGATTTCAGAATGTTCTTAAAGTTTATCACATTCTGATTTGCTGTCCTGAATTGGGGTCTTAATGCATTCTAGTGTAAATCATAAGTTGTTTTATATTGTTTCCGCATATTTATAGGGCATTTGATCAGCAAGGTCTAAATTTTGGGTCAGATTCATATTCTGTCTTAGGCATCTTATGTATTTTAAATGAATGTATTTTTGTCTCTTTTGTATCCCACCAGGAAAGCTGCTGAGCACCTGCTCTCCATTTTAAAACATTTTTGACCTGAGACTGCTTTTACTCCATCTCTTTCTGTCCTGACCTGCTGTCAAGAATAAAACCTTAAAATTAAAGGGGAGAATGGTTTCCTACTACATAGTTGAAGATATGATTCATTTGCCCCTCTCCTCTCTATGTGCTAAGGGCCATTACTGAAATTCTTCCTGCCCATTCCATTGCTTAATTTTCCTGTTTTGCTCCTAGTTGGATCCCTTGTGTCATTTTAGAAATTCTGGTCAGATTGGTGTTTGTGCTCTTGAAATACTTTAAAAATTGGTTTATCCCTTTCTTGGTTCTCATGAGCTATTCTACTTCATCCTTTCTTTACTCCTTTCTGAATTTCCTCAAAATTGTCAGCACCTGTCAGGTTTTTCATGTATTCATCTAGAGGAAGACTATGGTGTATTAGCTGTCTACCTAGTCCCCTGAATCTATATTCAGGAGCCTACAGGTTTTCAAAGATTTGAATGTGTATCTCCTCTCTAGTTGTTCATGCTTGGATTTGAGATGTAGCTTAAAATCCAACCCAGGTATTTTATTCCTTTTTTAACGTGATCTTATATTACCACATTTATTAGCAATTCATGGGAAATAATGGGCATTAGTCCCATTCATGTTGATTGTTATTGCATGAATAAAGCCCTTGCATCAAGATGAGATTATTCACCTTAATATATAAACCTTATCTTGATGGAGCATAATATAAGATAAACACTTCACTAATTCTCCAGTAAACACATCTTTGCTTCATGAGAGATGTAATCGTACCAATTCAAAATCTTGATTTTTGGTCCCAGAGTTTCTTAGTCAAGCTTGGACGTGTCTAATTCATGACTGAGGGTTTTTGAATTGGATAAGGAAAACTGTTGCTCTAACAGTTTGGTTTATGTCAGAGAAGAATTGCTAACCAGCCTTTAATTGACTGGTATAGACACAGTTTTGCTATCTCTGTCCTCTGGTTCCTGTCACTGAGTTGTATGGATTTTAAAGAAACCTTTCTTCAAATGTGAGCAAATTTCTTTGATCTGGTTATACCCTTCAGAACAGACACACTTTTAAATATGTTAGTACAGTTGTCAAACTCATTTCTATTTGGTTCTTCCATATTATGTAGCAGGATAATATTCTATTAAACTCTATTAAATTCTTTTAAACTCTATTAAATTCTATTAAAGATCTTGTGACAGGTATTCACAGGTATTCCTTGTTCCACATCAATCAGATCCACTACAGTACACGCTTAATCATCCAAACTCAATGAGGTGAAGTATGGCATCATGGGTTCATCAGAGGAGCACTTGTTTGAGGCTCCCAGCTCATCCCAGGGAAGGCTTCTAGAGAAGTTAAGCCCCTGGCTCCTTGGACTCTTAGAACTGGCCATTTAGTCACTGATACTTCTGTGGCCTCCTCCACTGACCTGGCTTAGTGCCTGGGGAGGGACTTCCCCTCTTTAAGGGGATGGAGTGAACCCAAAGTCACATACAGCAGAGCAGGTAGCTCTTCTTTAACCAGGGGCAGGGAATTATTTTAGTCAGGAGGCCGCTTACTGAGTTTTGGCAAGCCATTGAGGGCCACATGACAGGCAGCTAGGGGCAGATAAATATTAATTTTCTAAATTTTTTAGGGGCCCCACGGGCTGGATAGAATGGCCTGGCAGGCCGTATTGCTTTGTTGGTCAACCGCAGTACAGCAGGCAGAATCCTTGGGCCCAAAGGTTGGGCTGTTTCCTCAGCAGTCTTTGTCAAGTAACAGCCTGTCTCTCAAGTCTCTTAGGCTCCTCTCATTGTGCCAGTCCCTCTCCCCACACCCTCCATAGACTGGGCTGCATCCCCAGCTGGGCTTGTCCCCCCCACTCCCCCTCCCTTGTCAGCCAGCCCTCACTGCTTCAGCGAGGGAGCAGAGGAGTGGGGCCAGCCCTGCTCTCTGGAGCAGCCCAGCCCAGCCCAGGACTGGAAAGCATGCTGGGATGCTGGGGGACTGTGATTTAACTTGAAGCAGGAAGGGGTCTGGGACAGAAGTTTCAAAAACTGGTTTGACCTAAATCAGTTAAGTCTGGTACTACATTCAACCAGGTTTATCTTAAACCAGTTTCAGCCATTTTGAAACTGGTTTATTTGCACAGAGCTTCTGTTCTGTTACAGGTTTAAACAAGTTTCTGATCACTTAAACTGGGTTACATGTAACTTCTATCCCTAGTCTTACTGGTAGAAGTGATCGGAAACCAGTCTATACTTGTAACAGAACAGAAGTTTGGCACGTGCAGACTGACTTAAAAATGGCGAAGCCTGGTCTAAAATTTATGCCCTCACCAAAGGGTGAATGTGTGTTCTATTTGCTAATGATCTAAACTACACTGCTTGCAGAAAACCATGTAACTTAGATTGATTCTGCCTCAGGCTTTTTGAATGTCTTTACCTAGCCCAGCAAACTGTGCCAAATTTTGTCATCATTGCTTCATGGCCCATTCTCTCCTAGTAGAGCGCTCAAGCAGATCCTCTTCAAAGCATTCTTTCTCTGTAGACAAGCTAAACAGGACAACTGAGGCATGCAGTGTTGTTATAACATGAATAAGGCAATCAGGACTCGTAGTAGAGAAGATATATCTTTTATTAGACCAACAAGATTTTTGCAAAAAAAATTTTTTAATTGTAAGCTTTCAGGCACAGACACTCTTCATCAGGCATTGGAGAAAAGATTGTAGAAGTTCTCCTGGGTAGAAATGGAAGTTCATATTTCATAGGATTTCACAGAGGAGTCAATAGATGGAAAACTCCTCTGGGCAGTCAGTTTATAGCTGGTATGAAGCCTCTCGCCTTCTGTGAAGATCTGTGATGATGCAAACTACCTTGAAACAAAGGCAGGAGCAGGATCTCAGGTTTCAGTTTTTCACAGTTGCTTCCTGCTTGGGAAAATATGAAGATTTCATTAAAAAAAATAGGCTAAAATTCAATATCTTCCATGTGTCAGGTATCCAGGTTGTAGCCATATTGATCTAGAGGAAAAGGCAATTAGGACTTGTAGAGATGATGTCTTTTATTAGACCAACAAGATTTTTGCAAAATTTTTAAAATTACAACATGAAGGCACTTAATGCCCCCCTCCCCCCCAAATTATAACAAAAGTATAGTCTGTCATCAGAGCTGACCCAAGCAGGGTGCAGGGCCCGGGGTAAATCAGCCCATGCAGGGCCCTGCCCTCACTCCAATCCGGGCCCTGGACCTGAAGAAGCTGCCGCCGCCAATGCCAGCAGCAGCATTGGCCGTGTGTGGGGGAGCAGAGAGGTAGCGAGCGGCTGGACTCTGAACCGTTGCTCCGTCCCACTCTGTGGGGTCCCCCAAAGTGTGGGGCCCGGGGTGGTCGCCCTGATTCGCCCCACTCCCCCGACCAGGAATGGCCCTGTCTGTCATACATGGTCATTTAACAAATCTATTAATGACATTGAAAATTTTGTTTGCCTCCCCTTTTCTCGCATAGGATATTATATAATCAAGGTAGTACAGTGCTTAAAATTATGTCCGTCTGACTTTCTTAGATTGTCTTAGATCATGAAATGTGCATTGAAGTACCCATTAAGATGTCAACACATTTGAAGCAACAACATCATACCACTAACATTTGCTTTATTTTACAGAGAGGGTGGTATGATACTGAAAATGAATATTACTTGCTTCTCTTCACCCTGACTGTTCGTTGCATCTACTACACAAGTTTCAGCCTAGAGTACTGCTGGCATGGGTCTACTCAGAAGCGGTACCACTCATTCCTCTGGATGCTGGCCTACATGTTCTACTATCCTGTGTTCCACAATGGACCCATTATGAACTTTGATGAATATAGTAAGCAGGTAACAACACTTTTAATATCACGTTGCTATTAATATTTAGTTAATTTGATGTTTACTGAAGGCCAGATATGTGGAGGAGCACCTCCTACCACCTCAGCATGCTAGATGTTCCCCTTACCTTTAATGTGTGTGCTGAGGGGTGTGAAAAAGTTGGATCAGTTGGCAGTGCATGCCCTGAAAAAATGAGAAAGAAAAAGCTTGAAAACTAGATGTAGGCCTTAGTCAAAAATACAGATTATGAAATACTCCCAGACATCGGGAAATTTTGGATTTGGATCCAAATTCTGAAACTCAGACCTATTTTTGAAAGGCCACTCCACAAAATAGGTAACTTCTTTTGAGCTGCCTGATATAGATGCTGAAGTGATATTACATTAAAGGGGATAGAGATGAAGGGGCAGATTCTTTAATCTTGAGAGATGTCATAGTGAATCAGATGGAAATTTTGGATAGACAAAGCCTAAAAATTCTTTTTCATCCAATCTTACTTGAGACGATTCTTATTATAATGTATTTTATAATGCAGTTTGTGGATGAATCTGAACTAAGCTAATTTTGCAGTTACCTGCTTGATAAAAAATTCTCATTGATGAGATTTTCAAATAGAAAATGTTCTTGAAGTCAGCTTATTTTCATCTGCCCTTTCTTAGCATGACCTGAATTACGTTTTATAAGAAGATAGAGGAACACTTAAAACACAAGCTTTGGCGTTCCTGCTTCCATGTCAGCTATAAAAAGATACTGAATTCACAAAAGGCTATTCATTAAAACAATGTATATATTTGATTGATTGATTAATTAAAGAAAAATGTCCAAGTAGAATTTAATATTAGTCGAATAGGGATTTATTTAGATTTAAAGCCTTGGCATGAGAAGGTGGAAAACTAGTATGATCATTTCCCAATATATATACATTTACCTTTTGTGTTAGACTGTGGTGTCTTGGAATCATGATTATATATTTATTTCCCTTCTGAAACAGGTAAGTGGGGTTTTTCAGTCACCTAGAAGCATGGGAGAACTAAGACAGAAGTAGTAGTTTTCTGTCATGTATTTGGTGACTTGGGGCACCTATACATGTGATGCAGCTGTGCTCCAGTGTGTTGTAATTAGCACACGTTGGAGCAGACTTGATTAATTGTGTCTGCTGCAACTTTGCTGGAGTGTGCTAATTAGTGCAGTCCAGCCGCCTCTGTGTCGTGTGTTCAGCATCCCTGCATTTCAAAATGGTGACGGGGGTACTTTAACTAAATCTCATGAAACAAACTTTAGTTAAAGCACTGTGATGCCATTTTGAAGTGCAGGATGCTGAATACACATGACACTGTGGGCACATTAATTAGAGGGTCTCTCAGAGCTGCTCTAACTAAAGCTCCCCTGCCTCCATGTATTGGAGCACATGTATAGAAGACACCTTTTGGGTCAGACCCAAACCAGCCTTGGACGGACATTCACTTATGGCGGTTTCAAAGGGGAGGAAGATATGCTGTTCTGGAATGCAAAGGAGCTATTATGCTATAATGCTATATGTGCCCATATAGCAGGAGCCTGTAGCAATATAACTGAGCTAAATCACCACAAGCTTTAACCCCAGCTGAAGCAGGAGCAGTTTTGCTACATTTATATCACTACAGGCTTCTGCACACTACAGGCGTCAGCAGGTGGAACACCTGCTGCTTAGTTAGGAACAGTGGCTTCCTCTCCCCTTTGGAAACTGCTCCAAGGGAATATTTCAGGGGTGTAGGTTGTAACTGTGTTGGTCTAAGGACATAGGCAGACAAGGTTCTTTGGGTAAATCCGATATTTTTTATTAGACCAACTCAAATAGTTGGAAAAATTCTTCTTTGCAAGAAGAATATTTCCAAGGGAATATTTGCACATATTTCTGTCTCAGTTATGTGCTACAGCACCTAAAATTTAGGTGTCTTGCTCCAGGACAGTGACTTGAATCACTGGGGCCTAAAATTCCTGTATAGTGAACAAAAAGGCCTTGGTCTTTCTTGTAGTGCTCCATAGTGCCTGTGTGCTAAGTAAACCAGTGCCTTCAGCCACACAATCTCCTTGGGCTAAGGAGGGCCAAGATTACAGGTCTCTCACTTCCTGGCAGAGGCTCTAACTGCTAGACCAACCTCATCTGCCCTGGTCCATAGGTCAGATTGGGTCACAGGCTCATGGACCCCGGACTCTCCCCTCTCCCCATGCGGGTTTGTGTGCCAGTGACTCACTCTGGGGTCTATGCTGCATGCAGCCAGGGTGGGAGCTGCGACTGAGAGCCTTCATAGCTGACAGCGCTCTTTATCCCAGCTGCAAGTGAGGCACAGTCGGGATGGAGAGCCCTGTGTGGGCTGGGGTTTCATGGACCTCTTAGCCTTGGGGATCACAACAGCCGTGATCCTCAGGGCTCAGAGGTTTCACTCTGGGAAAGGTGCACCCGTGCAACTAGGAGCCCTGTTAGCTGACAGGCTCCCAGCCACCCTGCTACACATGTAAAATAAAGCTTGATAGCAACCAGCTGCAAAGTTAGTACACATTTTTGAAGTCTTAATTTTATAGCTGGTTGGAGCTTTTTATCATGTGATAACTACTTTGCACATGTAGCTGGTCTTAAGGTAATCATTCAATTAACCAGTTAATTGTGCAAAACTTTTAACATGTAGAGGGGCCATAGAAAGAGACTTTATAGGATCATCATGGGTAGACAGGCTCATAATGATAAAATGTTCCTTCAGGTGCTTTTATGCAATTCATTTGGCTGCCTTGAATGTATCATAGCTGGCACTTGATCAATATAAGTACTTAATCAGCCCCTTCCACTGACTGCAATTTGAAAGCAGCTACGATATTTACTCAAATATAAGATGACCCCCAATAATTAGATTATGTAGATGGAAAATTTATAAATTTGTTATAGAATCTAATTATTAGAAGTTGGCCTTGAATTTGTCCTCTTCCCAGTGTAGCAGAAAAGGAACTACTTGCCTTGCCCCAACTTCTTCCCTCTGCAGTCTCTTCCTCACTTCCTTACCGTCAGACCTTGCTTTCCCTGAGCACATGAAAGTGTGGGGCAAATTAGAAAACACTGACCATGAAATAAACATGCCTGTAGTAGTTTGTATATAGTACACATAGGCTTAGTTCATGTGCAGTTGAGGCATTTTACTTTCTTGAAACTACTAGAGGTTTTAGCACAGGTACTCCATAAACACAATTTTAAACAGCACTATTCTTTCTACTTGTATAGAATACAAACTATGCATAATATTAGTCCAAAGCCAAAAGGCTCATGGTTTATCATATAGTTAATTGGGCTAGATCCCAGCAGAATCAACAGCATTTCAAGCCCTGCACTGCTTGGTATGTGTGTGCACTCCAGATACCCTCCACAAAGGATCCATGTGCTAATTAGCCCCCCCCAGTCATAACTGGAACTGAATGTTCTTGTCACAAGTCCTAGAATCCTCCAAAAATTTATATGTTGATAAGATGCAACAAAACCGGGTTTGGCTCCACCTCATGTGGGGTGGGGCTACACCAATCATATGCAATAGGCTGAGAGAGGGATTCTGGGTGAACTGTTTGTGTCCCCATTTGATGATGTTTCCCAGACATTTACAGCTGATGAGGAAACAGGAATCATTGGAAATAAGAAAGAAATGGATAGCTCAGCTGTGGGATTGAAGAGGAAGTCAAAATGTATTCACTATAGTGGCTCACAATGACTTGAAAAAAGAGTTGATGCTGAGGGGAACTGTGTTCAAGTGGGCACCACCGTATATAGGGGTCTACTTAAATTGCGGTTTTGCTGATTTCTTGGAAACTGCAAAATCCAGGATTATCTGTGAAATCAACAAAAATAAAAATAAAATGCTGGCTCCCTAGCGGAAGCCAGTGGTTCTCATGGCTGCTGTGGCTCCGCTTTGCAGTCCATCTGGGAGAGGAAGGTGCTGGCTTGGGGGGCAGCACAAAGGGCTGAAGAAAAGAGGGCCACTGTCTGTCCTTGTTTGTCCTTCCCCTTGAGGCCTCTTCACCAATCAGCGCTGAGGGATGGGGCTGCACAAAGGGTAGCCAGCAGTCAAGATGGCAGCTGGCCTCTTGTCCTCCTTCCCACTGGGATCTCTCTGCCAGTGAATGCTGAGGGATAGGGCTGCTGGAGCACATCCACAAAATGTCCATGGAATTTGGTATTTATGCCATGACCAACCTATGAATATTGGTGAGTCTGACCACAATTTAAGTAGACCCCTAACCATATGTCTTATTCAGAAGGGTTGCACTAACCTATTCTTGTGGTAGGTTCCTATCAGTATGTTTGCCCCATATGGACCGTGTGTTTTATAGTCATGTTTAGTGTTGGCTCATTTAAATTAACTTCATAGTTGGTTTCCATGACTGAACACATGCTGTTTTTGGCAGTAGTTTAATGATAGATAGTATTTAATGAGGTTTCCTTATATGCATATGTAAGACAAAGACCCTTTTTCCCCGTGCTGTTTGAATGAAGAAACCTCATCTTGTATTTGAGTGAATATAGTAATAACTAGGAACCTGCTCAAATTGTGAGTTTGCGATTTTTGTGGAAACCGCAAAATATGGCAGTTTCCATGAACGCTATGAAAAATGGCAGTTTCTGCAATTTTGCACAGAATCACTAGAAAAAAAAACTTACTAAAAATAGTAAGTGGCCCAGTCTCACAGTCCACCGGAGGGAGCTGCTAGCATGAAGGGGAGCAGCCAAGATAGTAGCTACTCCCTCAGCTGCTGATTGGCTGAGGTGGCTGCCTTTTGTGCCCCTCTTGGGCTGGATGAAGGGCAGCCCTCTCTGCCAATCAGCAGCGATCGGTGGGGCTGCATGAAAGGTAGCCCTCTTGGCCAATCAGAGATGAGGGGCTGGGCTGTCTGGGCCCCACAGCCAATCAGCTGCTGGGGTGGGGGGCAGTGCGATAAGCCCACATAAATGGTGGTCAGTGCTGCAGTTGGTCTACGGAATTGCTCATCTGCCA